AGCTATACATGATATAATAATCATTAACCAATTTACTAGTCTCAGCTCCAGAGCCCCTTTTTAGGTTTTTCTGTAGTAGTGATCACTGTATTAGAACTTTCATTCACATGGAAACAGGTTCTGACTGTCAAGTTATTGAATTTTAAAAAGCACTATACCAAAAGCCCCACTTCATCACTTTCTGCTTCGATATTATATGTGACGAAAACATTTCGAGAAGGCAATTGTTAGCCTTTCACAGTCACTACGTATTACTTCCGCAACCTTCAATTATTCGGTGTCTAGTTTTTTAGTTCAACCACATTTTTGCAGTCATTATTCTGTTATTCCTTCATGCGATAAGCAAGCCAAAAATCCCGCAAAAACATGAAAATTAATGTTTGGGCTTTGTTAGACCTGTGAAAACTCAGCACTGAATCTTGCTTCCAAATTTAAAGGGGCTCTGTAGATTCTATTCCATTCTTGGACTTCCAAACTTTCTTAAGTCTATATGCATTTTCCATCAGCATAAAAATTTACGGTCCAAGTCTGCAGCCTGGGATACCTCACTTTTTACTAGCTCCAAGGAACCATTTACTACCTATGGCATTTGAATTTGATAGGGTGATGAAGTATAGCACACGTTTGCTATGATATATTTACAATTTTGTTGTTGCTGCTGAGCCCTCAATCACAAATTTCACAGTAATACAAATATGTTCTAATTAATAACTTACCATATAGTTCAATTTTCCAAAAAACTTGAGTACAAATAACAATACTCTTCAGCAAAACGTCCTCACATCACCTTCGAATCCCCAAAACGTTATACTGCATCGTAAAGTGGAACACAGCTGCAAACCTCTTTTCCTTGAACTCTCATTCTGTCTCGACACCGTCTCAGTGTGTTAAACATCACCAGAGATTAATGATTTGAATGTCACCGATCCGTTTAGGTACTCTCGTTTTTATACATCGTTGTGTGTGTTCAATCAATTGTATCTCAACCAGGAGCTATTTGGACACAGCTGCTGCGCAATAGCTCAGTTGTTCCGTATAATTTCTCATATAAGAATTCTGCAGCTCTATTTTTGTATGGCGTTAGTTATGAAGCAAAAATTTTGTGACATACCAATCTCGCTCATACTTGAAATTGAACATTTTGCGCTCAGCAACAGAGTTTGTAGCATGTATCCAACTACTTGTGACTGGCAATAATGTCCGAAAAGCCCCTGTAAAGACTACACTTCCTGCCCAACTTCCGCGTGCTTTTTGCCTGTTCACTGAGGTACCTTACCTTACGTCCATAAGAAATGGTGGAATTGTAATTTAAACGAAAAAAAGTTGCAAATATTTTTCAACATTTTCCTTTTTTTATATTCGCATGTAATCGGCGTCCCTCGAAATTGTATTTCCGGTGATTTACCGATCACTCTAGACTTAGCAAATATCAAAAGAAATTCTGTATACATCAGTTCCATAGCGTGCGTTTCGTTCCGAAGATTTTTGAAACTCTACTAATATGTTCGACAAAGAAATATTTCTTTTTTACCATATTAGCTTTATCGCTGCAGAGCCGTCATTGCGACGGTTACACAGTAGTGCCCCACATACCTTGTAAGGTGTGCACTGGAAACACTTGTTTTTGTGTTCGCTAACCATTTGCAATTTACTTGTTCAACTCTTCCTCTAAAAGACCGAGATTCTAAAGTATCCTTGCGTTTTAACAAAGTAATTCTAAAAAATCGTAACACTGATTCAATTATGCTGTTGCTGCCGTTCTGTCAAGCAACCATTGACAGTAATTGTATGTTATTATTATCAAAACTCTCCAATAAGAAAGCTCTGGAACTTTACTTACCAAACAAAAGAGCCTTTCTTCGATCAAGTTTCACTTCAAAGTTAATACAAAATTTTCGGACTGCGAAACTAAAGTAGACTTCTGAGGTGTACAAAAAATGATTAAGGTGGAAAGCTTTATTTCCATAGTCAGAAGACGTTGCAATTTACCTTTTCAATGGTCGAAATTTCCAATTTACATTACCAAGCTGCAACGGAACCCGAGATGAAGGTAACATATCCACAATTACTACAGTGAATAACGAACGAAAGATGATTTAAAAACTTCAAGTTAATAGATGAGATCAAAAACCCTTGCAGTCCAGGAGCAAAGTCAATTCGATCATTCAAATATAGAACTATGAATATGTTGTTCTTGAAAATTTCTACTATTACACAACCTTTTGTTATAATATATATTATAATACTTTTTATTATAATATCCTTTACTTCTACGGAGCTTTCAAAACGATAAACTTCCTAAATAAAGCTCAAACTTATCAAATTCACATTATACAGAGCCCAAGCGGCGGAGTCATTTTCTTGGTTTCTTTACGTTCTTAGTTAAAAATATTCCGCCATTATCAAATGCTCGATGAGTGGCCCGTTCAGATTTAATCGCGTAGTTTGGTAAACGCTCAATTTTGCTGTTACGGATGAGGCTCGGATTACTGTGTTGTCGAGTTGAAGGCACCGCCTCAATGGCGCCTAGCTTTTTTTTAACGTATTTATCTAGTTCCACTTCCTTCTTCCTGCTTCATCAGTTCCTCTCGATGATAAGCAT